GATCCAATAGTTTTTATCAAAAGTGTTTTTAGTTAAATGAGTTCAGATTTATTAATTATAAAAATAACATTTGATAATTTTAATTGTAAATGGTTGAAGCCAGGGTTCCTGCAGCTTTCAGGAAGTTAAATTTAAGACCAAACTGACACATTAACAGAAACATTCAAATGATCATTAATGATCACGATGAAAACCTTTTATTGCTTTCAACTAAGTTATGAAAGAATATTAATTTTAATACAAGAACATTAAATTATTTTAATGAAACAGTCATATCTATGTCTCAGTGAAAACACTTCTCATGTTTAAACATGAAGCAGTGACTGAACGTCTGCTTTGTTGCAGGTGAACAAGCTGCTGTCTGCAGGGGGCTGCAGCTGCTGTCTACAGGGGGCTGCAGCTGCTGTCCGCAGGGCCTGTAGCCCCCTGCGGACAGCAGCTGCTGTCTGCAGGGGGCTGCAGCTGCTGTCCGCAGGGGGCTGCAGCTGCTGTCTGCAGGGGGCTGCAGGGGGCTGCAGCTGCTGTCTGCAGGGGGCTGCAGGGGGCTGCAGCTGCTGTCTGCGGGGGGCTGCAGCTGCTGTCTGCAGGGGGCTGCAGCTGCTGTCTGCAGGGGGCTGTAGCTGCAAACAGGTTAAAAATGTAAAAGTAACTGTGGTGTGTTCTGCCTGCAGTTATCACAGGATTTATAGCTGATGGTACAAACAGCAGCAGATCACTTCATGAAGACAGATGAGTCAAACTGATTCCTGTCTTTGTTCATGCAGCCGACACTTCTCAGAGAAGAAAAAACTCCAGACTTTACATGAAACTCTGGGTGTTTTTAACAGTTTTTAGGTGTAAAATTTTAAATTTTATATGTTTTAGGACCCTGCATGAAGCCTGTAAACGGTTGTGTATGTAAATGTTTGTCACCAGGGGTTCTCCTCCTCCAGCGTCTCTCTGGTGGTGAACAGCTCGATGCACTCCTGCAGCTGAACTGTGGTCTGCTGCTGAGGAACCTCCATGCTGCTGTGCTTCACGTAGCGCTGCARACACACACATTTCAGCTACAAATATCAGCCGAAATCTCTACAACTTCCTGTTCCAACAGAGGACACTTCACAGCCGAACACTGGTCAGTGTTTGACTCAGAAACAGCCGAAGGGCTCGTGGCAGAAACTGACCTCTGCCTCGTTCTCGTTGTAGAATCTCTTCTTCATGTCCTGGTCCCAGTCGATGGCCACGTACGGCTGAGCTGCAGGATAAATGAAGCTGTTTCAGCTGAAACAACAAAGATCTGATGTTTTTAATAAATGTTTCTGCAGCAGAGTTCATCTGTAAAATGACCACTAGGTGTCAGTAAAGAGCAGCCTTTAACTCAGCTCTCTGAACTCATCTGAATAGTTTTTTTAAAGCTAAGTTCAGAATATCAGGTTGTTCCTCAGTGTGATGGCTCCGCCCACAGGACCTGTCGTCATGGTAACCAGGTGTGTCAGCACTCACAGCTGAAGGACACGGCGCTGCCTCCCTCTCCCATCCCTCGCTCCGTCGTCCCGTTGGAGTTGACCGCCTGGATGGTGAACAGGCTCCTCCTCCTTCGCCGACACGCCCTCCTCTTCACCGGCAGCTGATTGGGCGGGGGGCTCAGAGAACAYGCCTCCTCCTGCTTGTCTTCTTCGTTTCCTTCTGTGGCGCCGCAGCTCGGCGGCGCCGGTTCTGCTGGAGGCTCCGAGCCGGCGGCGACTCCGGCGTCCCCGCAGGTGCTCGTGTCGTCAGGAGCGGTGCTGGTGTTGGCGGCGGCAGCGCCACAGGCGGGTCCKGTTGGGTTTATCGAGCCGTTGCTGACGGTGGCGTCGCCCTGGTCCAGAGAGCTCTGAGCGCAGCTGGCATCAGGCTCCGCCTCTGTGGGCGCGGCAGCGTCTGATTGGTTGTTGGGGGCGTGGCTGCAGCAGGGCTGCGGTGCTGCAGGTCCGGCTGCCTCCTCGACTTCCTTCTCGTCTGATAAAAACAGAAAAGATGACATCATCAGGCAGAAGAGCAGAAAGCAGCTGGTCGCTGAGTCAGCGTGTTACCATCACTGAAGCCGTTCGTTTGAGACTTATACAGCTCCTCTTCATCGTCGTCCTCCTCCTCTTCCTCCAGCTCCTCCGAGGGGTCGGGAGGTCTGACGTAGCGCCTGCTCACAAACAGAAGGCCACCCTTCAGGAGGTGTCGGCGCAGAGCTGACAGGAAGTGGCGTTCTACTCACACCAGCCTCTGCAGGAACAGCTGGTAGAGCTCCTCCCGGCTGCAGCTGCCGCGCGGCACCCGGAGCAGCAGCGGGTGTCCGAACAGCGTGGTCCCGTAYGAGCTGCTGCCCGACCCGTAGTCCCGGTACTGAGAGCGCTCCCGCAGGTAGAGCGCCAGCAGCACCGCGTCCTCGTCCTGCACGCTCAGCTCGTACCTGAACACAACACAGCTTCAGGACGAGAAAACAAACATGGCCGACGTGTCTGAGACCCCATGTCCTCATATGAGGACATTGCATTTTTGCCTCTCTACTGGTGATGCATCATTTTTATCAACTTTAACTGATTGTCCTCATTAATGGACACTACCAGCACCCTCTAGTGGTCCCATGACATTATTACTCATGTGAGTGAAAACAAGATGGCGGGGATCCCAGTGAAAAGCTTCTGGTAAGAAAAATGGTCAAAGTAAAAATCCAGGTCATATTTTATGCTTGAAACCAGCATTATTATGTACAGTTGCATCTTTAGCTTCATAAGACATGCAAAAAAAACATTTTTACAACTAGAAGAAAGTAAAATGTTGGTAAAAATAAAGTCCTCATTTGAGGACATTGGAAATATAATTTAATTTTTAGCCCTGATGCTATCACCATATATATATGTATTAGCTCAGCGCTACACATTCTCCTCTCATCACTGAGGTCCTCCATCCACATTACAGAGAGCAGGCTGAGTCATTTCTACCTTCTCCTCTCTGTCAACGCTCTCTGGTTTCATTTAAAAGAGTCGATCATCAGATATTGTCCAAGATTAACCTTCAGGGTGGATATAGCTCGCTAGCAGCCTCGCACCGAGGACCTATCCACGTCATCATTTACCCAGAATGCTTTGTGTGCAAATAAAATGGCTCCGTCCGTGTTAAAATATATTTTTAAAAATTTACAAAACTCAACAGCCTACAGTATTTTTAGTCTTTATTTTACAGTTGAAATAAATGTTTATGAAATAAAGTCTAATACAACTAATCTTTTATCCCTTTAAAGACTTTTTAATGCCAAGTGAAATTAAATTTAAGACCAATTTCATAATAAACACAAACGACAATAATAATAATAATAATAATAATAATAATAATAAAAACTGTAGCAGCAACTCATGCATCAAAGTATTTCTTGTTAAGTATTCAAATATTTTGCTAATAGACCAAATGTTTTTATCCAAATCAAACTGCTTTTTCATTAAATATAGTAAAAACATTCTGAGCAGTTTAACGACCCTAAATTTGTACTTTCATGACCCACAGTAACCCCAGTTTGCTGTAGATGAAACCTTAAAGCACATGTGATGTAAAATGTTTGTAAGAAAAATTAATGTATTTTTTGAAAGACAACATTATTAACATATTATAAAACAAATTTCACGTTGCTCAGATGAACAGTTGTTGAGATATTTACATGTGAAATAACAGGAAGTGATGTCAAAGGGAAATGTCTGCATGTGAATATTTAAAAAATAAATGTTACCAATTATTTTAATTTTTGAGATGAATTATCATCATCCTATTTATAATGTGTTAACATTTTTAAGACCTCTGAAAGATTGATTTAAGACATTTTAAGGCTAATTAAGGCCTTAACTTTGGATTGGTGAATTCAATGACTTTTAAGACTTTTTAAGGATCTGCAGGAACCCTGTCATATGAGGACATGTTTGTAAAAACCACTTCCTGTACCATGACAGGGTCTAGTTATTGTACTTATTAATCCCATGTGTGTTAGAGAAAGAAAAAAYGCACATGATGAAAAGGCTCGGGTCTCAGGAGGTTAAAGTGGCGTCAAAGAAAACATCTTTATATTTAAACATTAGTCACAAAACTGACAGATTCTCTTTTGAAATAGGTTCAAAGTGAAACAGGAAGTGACATCAAAGAGTCTCTGATCTTTGAGTCTTTGAATCTTTCTCATCGTAACTCAAACTAAGAAACATCAGATTGTTCTCTACAGTCTGGGTTGACCTGCAGACGCTCCCCTCTGACATCACTTCCTGTGGTTTTTGTTCTGCAACATGTTTGTAATGTTTGAAGTGTTTTCTTACACAAAGATGTCGTCTCGGTCCAGGATGCAGCTCAGAGATTCTTCAGGGTTGTAGATTTTATAGAAACGATGGTTGAAGACGTCAGCGACCACCATCTGAAACACAAACAGATGTTTGGAGACTGGATCAGAACCCCGAGCTCCTGCGCGGGTCACAACAGAACCTTTGCACAGCTGCAGACACACACCTGTTTGGGCAGGACGTCGATCATCTCGGACAGCGCGACGCAGAGGTCCGACACTTTCCCTGCTTTAGGAACCACGACCCGGTGCTGCCGAGACAAAGACGTGAGCTGCAGCAGGTCTGAGACGGCTCACCTGCACAGTCCTGAGCTCCGGAGGTCCTACCTGCACAGGTTTGGCGTGGGGGTCCAGAGAGACGAAGAAGACCTCCATGACGCGCTCTTTGCTGACAGGAAGTGGGACGCTCAGGTAGCAGAAGGGGTCGAAGGTCACGGACACCTTGTTGCACTCGGGACAGACCAGCGTGGACTTGAAGAGGCCGTGGAACGTGTCCACGATCACCGAGTCGTTCCGCCGCCGGTGGTTCCTCCACGCCTCCTCGGCCACTTCCTGTCAGACCCCCCCACCCCCGAGAAGAACCGTCAACAACGAGTCGTTCCTCCTTCAGAACCAGAACCAGGTGAAACCACAGACCTGGTCTGGTCTCCTGTCGGCGTCCCGCAGCTCGATGTACTCCTTGTTCTTGACCCGGTTCAGATCCTCGTGGAGCCCGTCCAGCAGGAAGGACAGCAGCTCCTGACTGTCGTGCTGCTGGTAGCCCAGGAACTGAGAGGCAAAGTGCCCCACCTTCGTCTGCAGCAAAACAAACAAACAAACAAACAAAC